CCTTTGTATTTAACAATATTAGATACCACAATTGTATAGTTATTAGTTCGGGGTGCGTCAATAACTTGAGTTTGGGTTCCATTCAAATAAATTATATCATATTAAATTATAAACTTACACCTCGTCACAGAGAGGGTGACATTTTGGGGTAGTTACAAAGTTTGTTAACTTTTAATACTCAACAAAATTGTCTTTGAGTATTTCATACCAAAATTTCTATGTTCAAAATCAAAATATCTTTATTCGTGTAGGTGTATTACAGACTCTTATGATATGTCAAATCTACCGTCAGTTCGGAATGATTTCGAGATGAGAAGAACTGACAAGAAACTCAGCTCGTATTCTTTTCAATTAAATGTTGTACATGTTTACAATAATACAGATTCATTTTTAAATTCAAATTTGTGAGAACAGAGTGACCACCAGCATATGCTATTGCAAAAGCAAATAGTCAAATCATTGTTCGTAACCCATTTCACAGCAACTGTCATTGGATGCTAAGTGTTCGGAATGATTTAGAACTGACGAGAAACTCATCTCGTATTCTTTACAAATGAGTTTTAGATTTACAATCTACCAGCTACACGCCTCGGCTTCGCCAGGGTGTACATATAAACCTCTTGAATCACTCTATCTATTAAAAAAACCGCTTCTAAATCCGTTGCGTAGTTTTAAAGATTTAAGCATACATATGAACGGACAGACAGCGACAGCGACTTTGTATTATACTATTGACTTGACGACCTCGGTGGTCTAGCGGTCATGCACACCGCTTTACGACCGATGGTCGCGGGTTCGATTCCTCGCACGGCACAAACATTTGTATTCATGAGTATGATTGTTTGTATCGGTCTGGGTGTTTTCTATGTATAATATGTATGTATTTACAAAAAAAAATATCTATGTATATATATTAGTTATCTAGTACCCATAACACAAGCTCTAGCTAGCTTAACTTGGGTCTAGATGGCTCTGTGTGAATTGTCCTGAGATTATTATTATTATTATTACTATGTAATGTAGATTTGGAAGGACGGGCAATGACCCTTCAACGATCTCTCTAGTCCAGCTGTTTGGGGTAGCTACCTTAGCCTCTTCAGATAATCTGAAGACAAATTAACTCTATTTCGCTACTGGCAACATTTGTACATTTTGAGACGCAGTTTAAGTATTTGTTCAATGCTTGACTTAGCGAAATGGAGGGAAACAGAAGCTATCTAGTCTATTGGTTAACGAAAATGTTTTATTTGTAAAACATTGGAGTTTGTGTTGAGTTTTGGTAACTGGTATGGTAAATAAGATGACCCACATGATGGAAAGTGACTGTCTTTTATATAACTAGCGGTCCCGGCAAACGTTGTTTAGCCTTAAAATAAAATAAAAATTAGGGGTACCCCTAACATTTAGGGGGTGAAAAATAGATGTTGGCCGATTCTCAGACCTACTCAATACGCTCACAAAATTTAATGAGAATCCAAAATTAACAGATGTTTTGAATTTATTTAAGGATAATTCCAATATATCCTTTGGTATCTTATTGTAAATTTTTATACCCATTCCCATAAAAAACCTATTGACTTTTTCTAAACGATACTTGGGGATAGCAAGTTTGTAGTTTATTAGTTACCACTTACCATACTCCTCTGAAACGGCTTGACCAATTTTTATGAAATTTTATTTGCATATTCAGTAGGTCTAAGAATCGGCTAATATCTATTTTTCATATTCCTAAGTAATAAGGGTTGTCCACAACTAACATTTATTTTTTGGACAATTTATTTTGTTGTATTGTGTCATAAAAAATAACACACAATCCTAAAACCCCAAAATTTTCACTTTTTTATCATGAAACTCTATTTTGTAATAGCGAGTTTAATTTACGAGTATATGGCAAAATCTTTGCGAGGTCAGTTAGTAAATAAATACTCAACTATAGTTTAAAAAAGCATTTTGTAATGATGTAAGTATTTAAAAACCTTACTGATATTATAAACGCAATAGTTTGTGCGTATAAATTAATCAAAATCCGTTTAGTAGTTTTTGCGTGAAAGAGTAACAAACATCCATCCGTCCATACACACAAACATTCGCGTTTTATAATATTAGTAAGATATTTTTCTAGATTGCTATTTGTTTTCTGGACAGATCGTCAATGCAAGGCTTAAAGAATAGCCCCAGGAAGTTGTAAGGGAGGAAAGTAAACATCCGTACAATGAACCCAACCATTTATTTACAAAGGGTATATCCTTACTTCCCCACTAATATTATGCCCAATTTACACTCAGCCCGAGTGGGCAGGGAAGTGAGCAGCGCGAGAGTGTAAACACGAGTGGAAACACTTCCCATGCCATTGGCGCTGCCACTCGCGCTGCCCGGCGCTCCCTCGATTGTCGGTTTTTCGTGCGCGAGTCAAAGGACTGGCAGCGCGAGTGGCAGCGTGTTTTTACATTCAGCCCTCTCGCTCAGTTGTCGCCCGGCAATATTTCCGGCAGCGCGAGTGGCAGGGGAAGCGGCTGAATGTAAACGTAGCAACGTACCGTAAATGCGAAAGTAACTCTGCCTGTCTCGGTTTATCGTCAAAACTACTAAACCGATTTAAATGAAATTTGGTACACAGATAGTCTAAACCTTGAGAAAAGACCTAGGCTATAATGCAAAGAAAGGGTTGTAAGGGGTTGAAAGGGTAGATAAAACGTTGTATGGAAGTATCGTCATTTTTAAAGCTAGAAGCTTGAAACTTATTGTTGCGGGTGAATATTTAGATGTTGCTGGTCGAGACGATGTATTTTACAAATGATAATAAACTGACAATATGTACATAGAAATAATGATCTTATATACTAAATAAAAGTAGGAAAATGTAAGGTGGGGTGACACAGTTTAGATACAGCAGTGCCTAGTAGACAATATTGAATTTGTCTTACTAGACATTATTAAATGCAATTATTATTTTATGTATCTAGGTGACTGTGTCCCATACTTATTTTTTAAGCTTTTGACTATCAATATGACATTCAAAGTTTGTACGAATTTTACCCTTAAGAGGGTAAAATAAAATAGGGGATGAAATGGAAATTCCTTATTCGTCCTCCATTCCTTGCGAACGAAGTCGCGGGCACAGCTATTAAGTATATATCTTATATATAAAATTCTCGTGTCACAGTTTTCGTTCCCATACTCCTCCGAAACGGCTTGACCGATTCTCATGAAATTTTGTGAGCGTATTGAGTAGGTCTGAGAATCGGCCAACATCTATTTTTCATCCCCCTAAATGTTAGGGGTAGTCAACCCCTAATTTTTTTTATTATTTTAAAGCAAAACAACGTTTGCCGGGACAGCTAGTATATATATATATATATATTTTAATCTCTGCACCACCTATAATTAACTGGCAGAAAATGCCTTAAGGTGTAAACTCCGCCATTTGCACTTTTATTTGCATATTTCTGCATTAAACTTTTAATCTACACATCTACCTATATCTATACCTATAAATAAAATTGGAGTTTCTGTTTGTAACATTGAAATAACCGTTTTGTACTATATGCATATGAATATAAGGTACTTACAACAAAATATCATTTTTTACAATTTTTCACTGTCTGTCTGCCTGTCTGTTGAGAGATTTGTCAGTTGTTCTGGCTAATCTCTGAAATGGCTGGACAGATTTTGACGGGATTATTTAGCAGCTGATGTAATAAATAGTATCTTAGGCTACTTTTATTTTAGAAAAATAAAGTTAAATTCCACACGGACGAAGTCGCGGGTAAATATATTCGTATTTTGTATGTAATAATGTGATAAATATTACAAAATATATCGACCGCCATGTTTAGCCATTTTGGCGGGAATGTCAATTTACAAGGACACAGATTATAAAATAAAAGAACGCATTTAAATTTCACCTCAATTTTATTTGATATCATCATTTTTCTTAATAGTAACACAGTCATATGATAACAGTATTGTATTTAAATACCTACCTAATACCCCACCACGACCTCCCAGCCAAATGGTCGTTGTGGGGGACATACTGGAATTGAAGTACTCACTGCTCTTTGTGGAAATCAACGAATTTGGTAGAAATTATTTTAAACTTGGTAGAAATCTCTCATAAACTACGGTAAGTATGTATGTTCTACTAAGGTATTAAGATTTACTTTTTAAATTCATTTAATAATTGAATGGAGTGTGTTGAAAAGGTAATTTGTCACTATGATTAAATAAAATTATCGGTATCATAGAATATGGAATTTTAAAAATATTTACAATTTGATAATTATTGAATTTATAACAGAAATGTTAATCTACAGAGAATAAATAAATAATACTCATATTGAGTGACTAGTATCAAAGTATTGTGGTAAGTTTGTGAGTCTACTACATGTGTTATATACATGTGTTTTTTTTTTATTTATTATGTGAGTTGCAGCACTTAGTCACTTGGTACATACTTCTATCATATTCCCGCCAAGTTTAATTATTCTTTTTTAATATTGATCAACAAAAGAGGTAGTCCTTCAAGACCAGTGTAAAAATTATAAATAGCTTAAGACTAATCTCCTGTCTAGTCCGCCCCGTCACCTTCTAGTTTACGTACAGTCAGACACGAAAATAAATTACTGACTATACATATATAAATATATTTAGTAATTTGATGAGATACTTATTACAGAATTACAAAAGTTACTAATGTTTATTTTTAATTTTTCTTTTTTTTACAATATAGTAGTTTCATGGGCCAAAGCATAACAGTATACATCTATAATATAAGTGCTTGAGTTTTTGCATAATATAAATTATTTTTTTGGACAAATTTATATAATATATTGACAAAATACAAAATAAACTATTGTAGATAATGCAAACTCAGTGTTTAAACTCAGTTGGTAACATCAGTGAATTAGTGAAACATTGTGTAAATATTGTTACCTGCCAGTAACAGATTCAAATAATATTAATACTCTATGATTAATTGATCAATTGACATTGAAATTCAGCAACTGTTGTAATCGTGAGGCATTGGACAGCGATGTTTACTCTTCTTCCCCACCTTCTTCATTTCTCCTGTACAACAATGTTAATAATATATAACTCAAGACTATTTACAACACCATCTAGTACAAAACTAAAGAGAGCTTAAAGACAAACTGTAAAATGATTTTTATACAACGGTAGAGAGAAAAATATACTATAAAAAAATTGACGTTCATATGCGTTTTAAAAAAATTAAATAATTTTTAATTTAACTACCATTGAATATTATTTTGTATTAGCTGTACCCGCGACTTCGTCCGCGTGGAATTTAACTTTATTTTTTTTTAATAAAAGTATCTACTGCTTATTACATTAGCCATCTGCCAATAAAAGTCCCATCAAAATCGGTCCAGCCATTGCAGAGATAAGCCGGAACAAACCTACAGACAGACAGGCAGACAAAAATTGTAAAATATTTTTTTTTTCAATTTTTGTCTGCCTGTCTGTCTGTTAATTTGGTATATATACCGTATTTATATTAATATTAGCTACTCGCCCCGTCTTCGCACGGGTGTACATGTATTATATATATAAACCTTCCTCTTGAATCCCTCTATATATTTAAAAAAAACCAGTCGCTGTCGTTGTCTGTCCCTATGTATGCTTAAATCTTTAAAACTACGCAACTATTTTGAAGCGATATTTTTATACATACTAGCTTTTACTAGTGGCTTCGCTCGTATTAATTTATCCCTTTAGGGGTGGAATTTATCAAAATTCTTTCTTATCCTATGTCATAGTAGCTTTATGCAAGCAAAGTCTCAACCCGATCGGTTTAACATTGACGAAGTGTCATACAAACTTTCATCCCCTATTTTATTCCCTTGGGGGTAGAATTAATCAAAATCCTTTCTTAGCGGATGCCTACGTCATAACATCTACCTGCATGCCAAATTTCAGCCCGATCCGTCCAGTGGTTTTGGCTGTGCGTTGATAGATCACTATGTCAGTCACCATTGAGTTAAATATATTTAGATATAAAATATCTAAACCCGTGCGAAGCCGGGGCGAGTAGCTATTTATACAATAAAAGAGGTTTTATGTAACAAGTAAAGAACTCACCTGGTATCATATAGGTGTCGTATAGCGGGAGTGGAACCTGTGCACCTGTACAATGGGTACAGCCCTGTGAACTCGCAGACCAGTGTGGGTGGTCCAGATGCTAGCGTCACTCCAGCTGCACCCTCAGATCGCTTTCCATACCGGCTCCCCATGAAGAACCTGGACATTTAGATTTGGAATTTAATTCAATTTTTCTAAAATAAAAGAATTTTTCTATAGTAAAAGGAGTCTATGTTACTCCTTATTACATTAGCTTACGCGTGGAATTTTACTTTGTTTTTTTTTAAATGTAAGAATTTTTCTAAAGTTAAAATAGCCTAAGTTACTCCTTATTACATCTACCTACCTGCCAAAATAAAATCTTTATATAAAATTGAAGAGTTTGTTAACTAAAGTTAGTTCAGATTAGTTTCTGACCATGATTTGGCAGGTTTAGAAGTATCCTATGATCCTTCACCCTCGAGACTTCTGTGATCATCTTCATCTAAAATGCCTCACCTGTCATTCCTTGGCGTCAGCATCCTCGGTGGTGAACGTCCATACCTGGATCCAAGCACGAAAGGCATCGGTGACACTGAAGGGAAAATCCATCGGTAAAGTACCAACTAAAATGTTTTTATTTAATCGTATTAGGTATTATTTTGCGGAAGTCCATTTCACTACTTGATTCTTCGGCGACTCTTAGTCACGATAGATAGATAAAAATCTTTATTCGTATCCCGATAACAAAGAGAGTACAAACAAAATTCAAATAACACATAAGAATAGTAAATAGTAAATAAAGACTTATGAGGACCTACTGCACTATGCTGGCTGACATACCTAGATTTAATATTTAAGTTGCTATTATGTTGTTGACAAAAAATTACTGTAATGTTGCAATTATGTTATTCTACACAATTTGTATTGTTTTGGATGAATAAATAAAAAAAAATTATAAAAAATACAACACATAATAGAGCAAGAGCCCACGACGGCCAGACATAAGTCATTTTAGTAAACGTGAAAGTTCTTGTATGTGTGTCCCCAACACAGGTAAGAACGATCCCCAAACATGAAACCTGGATCGTGGTTCCTTTGGCAGGTACCAGGTAACAAAGGTGTAAAAAAAATATCAAATTCGATATTTTAAGAAACTCCATATTTTCATATATTGTTCGTAGCATTATTATAACTTGCGCTGCTCATTGCCAGACACGTAGTGTGGTTCCCACCCCCCGCCGGACCCCCCTAAACTATACTATTTTATAAATAAACTTACGTCATTTTAATAAAGCTGAACTTTATATATATTATTGAGAGAACTATTAAACTGAGTTTCATAAATTGCCAGACAGTTTTGTTGGTTCCTTATCCTACCAGACTCATTGAAACCGTATATCGGGTAACAACGGTGTATACAATTTCATATCAAATTCGTTATATTAAGATTTTTTTATTTTATTAAGATTAAGAAGTTTAGGGGGGTTCGGCGGGGGGTTGGAACCACACTAAGTGTCTGGCAACGAGCAGCGCAAGTTATAATAATGCTACGAACAATATATGAAAATATGGAGTTTCTTAAAATAACGAATTTGATATGATTTTTTTTACACCTTTGTTACCTGTTACCTGCCAAAGGAACCACGATCCAGGTTTCATGTTTGGGATCGTTCTTACCTGTGTTGGGGCCACACATACAAGAACTTTCACGTTTACTAAAATGACGTATGTCTGGCAGTCGTGGGCTCTTGGGCTATAACACTTTATCTTCCACATAGAATAAACATTAAAATACATATTAGGTGCCACAGCGATACGAAAGGGTTGAGCTACTCAGTGAACAATTTGCTCAGCGAGCAAAACACTGATTTTCAGTGTTTTGCTCGCTGAGCGGCATCAAGTCCCAAAAAGTATGTAAGTAGTAAGTGTGCCATGGGTACTAGACAACCGATAGATTTTTTTTTCTATACATCATCTACCTATGTATATAAAAATGAATCGCTGTTCGTTAGTCTCGCTAAAACTCGAGAACGGCTGAACCGATTTGACTAATTTAGTCTTGAAATATTCGTGGAATTCCAGGGAAGGTTTAAACGGTGATAAAATATGAAGAAATTGCATCTAAAACAATAAAAACAACAATTTTATTTTCCCATACAAACCTGTCAAACACGGTGCGTTAAGAAATTAATTGTGTACCAAAACTTCAAAAAATCTTTGACATATTAATTTTGAAATTAGAGTTCGCAGGATCAGTTAGTTATATAATAATTATACTACTAATATTATACATCGCCATGTATGTTTGTATCTATTGGAAATCAAACATGCGACCATCGGTAGTAAGGATTTTACTAACTAGACCACAACGTCTAATAACTGACTTACTTTCAGCTCTTTTTTCAGTGTCAGCTTGTATGAGACTTGCAAACAGCAGCATGAGGGCCCAAACACATCGCCACAGCATCTTGTATCTCGTTATAATCGTTGGAGGATCAGAGATGACCATACACCGGCTTGTGCTATTAACAATAGTAACAATATGTGTATATCTATACATATAAATAAAATTGGAGTGTCTGTTTGTAATATTGAAATAACCGTTTTTTACTACATGCATATGAATATAAATACGGTACATACACCAAAATAACATTTTTTTCAATATTTTTCTGTCTGTCTGTTTGTTCCCGCTAATCTCTGAAATGTCTGGACCGATTTTGACGGGACTTTTATTGGCAGGTAGCTGATGTAATAACGAGTAACTTGGACTTCTTTTATTTTAGAAAAATGAAGTTAAATTCCACGCAGACGTAGTCGAAAGTACAGCTAGTTTTAAATATATATTATAATATTTATATGACATAAATTATATATATATACATAGATTTTGTTAAGTTATTTATATATTATAGTATTACTAGCTGTTCCTGGCAGCTTGTCTATAAATAGATATATTTATATTTTTTATATCTATTTTTTATATGTCACTTTTGACTAACTATATATTTTTTTTGTTACTTCTTGCTGTGAGCCCTTTTGGGAAGAATACACATTTTTACTAGTATTTAGTTTTTATTAAAATAGTAGTTGTGTTCCCGCTCCAGTGACACTAGCTGTACCCGCAACTTCGTCCGTGTGGAATAAAACGAGCAAAGATTTTGATTTGGTTTTTTAATGGCTTAATAACCGCATCCGGGGCCTATTGTTAGTCCTATATGAATGTTTATTTACAGTTTTAAGAAAATAACATTTATTTAACATTTCTCCCTATATTCATATGGAAATCCAACATGTTTATTCCAAATGTTTTTCTAAGCAAAACTTAAAACAAACACTAAGTACGGAGTAATGTTTGCTAACCTACGTACATATGAATTGTTACAATTTTACAGAGTGCCGTCGTAGCGCAGTGGTTTACATCTAAAAGGTCGTGAGTTCGAGTCTAGTCTTAAAAATAATGACAGTTTATATTCTATAACATCTCTATATCTATGAAATTTGTAACTTTATCAAAACACATACTTATGAATTAAAAAATTTTTGTAATGTTTTACAAACCCCATCTAGTCCCACGATAAGCAAGACTTGTGTTATGGGTACTAGACAACTGATATATACATGTTTTTTTTGTAAGTCCATCAGTTGTTGGGTTGTAAGGTAAGTACTTGCTGGTTGTAAGGTAAGGTAAGTAGTTGGGTAAGTACATACATAATAGACATAGAAAACATCCAGACCGATACAAACAATCATACTCATGAATACAAATGACTGTACCGTATGAGGACTTGAACCTGCGACCATCGGTAGTAAGACGGTGTGCTAAACCGCTAGACCACCGAGGTCGTCGTAATAATATGCATAGGAGAATATCCATATACCCTAATTTTGTATATCTTTTAACATATCTCAATAAAGACAGCCATTTTTACATGACTATCCGGATATATAACAAACTAGCTTTTGCTCGCGCCTTCGCTCGCGTTAATTTATCCCCTTAGGGGTGAGATTTATCAAAATCCTTTCTTAGGAGATGCTTACGTCATAGTAGCTTTTTTTTTTGTGGATGATAATGGAATGGTGCTCCCGTTTGCGCTAACGGTTTACGCTGGCGGGGCACCAGTGGAGGATGATAAGATGAGCATGAGGTCAGGTTAGTTAGCCCATCGTGACAAATTCACCAGGAATTTAACATGGTGGTTTCCAGGGGGAACCGCGTGGAGGTCGACCTTCATAGTAGCTTTATGCATGCAAAGTCTCAGCCCGATCGGTTTAAAATTGACAAAGTTTCATACAAACTTTCATCTCCTATTTTATCCCCTTGGGGGTAGAATTTAGGTTAATCAAAATCCTTTCTTAGCGGATGCCTACGTCATAACATCTACCTGCATGCCAAATTTCAGCCCGATCCGTCCAGTGGTTTGGACTGTGCGTTGATAGATCACTATATCAGTCAGTCACCTTTGAGTTATATATATTTAGAAGCCAAATTTCAGCCCGATCCGTCCAGTGGTTTGGGCTGTGCGTTGATCACTATGTCAGTCAACTTTGAGTTATATATATTAAATTATCGCATTAAAAGAATTGAAAGTTAATTTGAAATTATAAACAGATAATTAAATTTGATTAGTATTATTACAGCATGCTTTAAAATAATTGAAAGTTAATTATATTAATTAAAAATTACAAACTGGTATTTCAATTTTATTAATACTATTGTAAACATGTACAACATTTATTTGAAAATAATACGAACTGAGTTTCTTGTCAGTTCTTCTCATCTTGAAATCATTCCGAACTGACGTTAGATTTGACATATCATTGTACTGTATTGGCGATGAGTAATAATTCACGTGTGTAATTAAGTCTGCATTAATAAAATTGTATTGTTAATGTATATATGTGATGGCTGGTTACGGAAACATAATGTTCGGCGGTAGCCTCACATTTGACCACCGCTCTCAGGAATGGAGCATATTCAAAAGCCGTTTTATTCCATACTGCACCGCAAATGATATTAATGAAGAGAATGATAAAAGTGGAATAAAACGGCCAGCATTATTATTAACGGCTTTGGTGGAAGACACATACCGCGTAGCGCGGGATATCATTTTTCCTACGCCATTAGAAAGAAGAATGAAGAAAAGAGAAATGAAGAATATAAATATCTCTTGGAGAAATTAGATACTCATTTTTCTTCAAGAAAGAGTACATTTGCAGAACGTTATCAATTTTATAAGGCAGAACAACGGTTAGGAGAAGATTTGGCTGAATGGGCGGCACGAGTGCGACATTTAGCGCAGTATTGTGGATTTAAAACAGAGCTGGAGACCGCTTTTAAATACAGTACAATCATAAGAGTCTGTAATAGACCTACATGAATAGAGATATTTTGAATTTGAATTTGTTGTTGTTATCTTACTCGTAAGTAATATTAGACTATATGATCATGACATGTGAGTCAAGACATTTGACGACTGCAACAGTTTAATAGACTGTGTCACCTTCAAATGGTCGCGGGTTCGACGCCCGTACAATATAATCATTTGTAGCCATGAATATACTATAGTATAAGGCGTTAAGTCCGCCATATGTACTTTTAGTATTTTGTGCAATGAAGTTATATAAATATATAAATAAATAAATACCCTACCTACTTGAACAAAGATATTTTTTCAATTCGAATGTGCCATCGACCACCAGATGGTAAGACAGTATGGTAAACTGCTAGTCGAGAATTTCTAGCCGTATTTTCTGAAGGCACAACAATAAGAACGGATGTTATCGTTGTTTTTTAACACTTCTTTTTACCGTCGGATGTCGAGAATTACCGTTGAGATGTCCAGTAAAAAGGTAAAAAAACGATTGTTATGTTCCGGTTTGTAGTGGTGGAATACTAGAGAGTTTGTAACGTAAAAGACGGTTTTTTTATTTTATATGGTCAAATGGCATGTTGATATCAGTGACCTCCGATCGATCCCCCGTTCAATTCAAACTGGGATAGAAATTACGACGATCTGAGCCGAGGTTCGAACCCCTAGCGGTGCCCTCAGACTAAAGTTATATCCGTCAGGCGGGAGTTGGCCTTCAGCCGCTCCATAAGTCCTTCCGCGGGTTTGGAGTGCCATCTGCACTCGCCCCCTATCGTCCGGTGAAGCTGTAAATGCCAGCTGCGGCCAACAGCATTAGAGTAATCCAAAATAATCTGTGTTACGATTCGATCTGGTTCTGTACCTCTCAGTTCTAGTAAAGATCCAACCACCTGTACCTATATTGTGTTTCAGTTTAGAGCTGCCTAGGCGTAAGCTAACCAGAGTTTGTGTTGCACTAAACAACTCATACAAACACATAATTTTTTTCTTAAATACATACATATTATACGTAGAAAATACCCAGAGCGATACAAACAAGCCTACTCATGAATACCGTCTGTGCCGTATGAGGAATTGAACCCGCAACCATCGGAAGTAAGACGGTGTGTGAAACCGCTAGACCACCGAGGTCGTCGGTATATTTGGTTTCATATAATGATTCAGTTACCACAATTTATGCCATTACTCAACAAGTACTACAGTTTGACTCCATTTGTTATTGTTTCATCATTAATCAACATGTCTTTTGAAACCACAGTCTCTGTATTTTCGAAATAAATGACTATTGTATGTACTAGTGCATCTCAGAAACTTGTATATTATATTACTAGCTGTCCCCGCATACGTTGTTTTGTCATATAAATTAATAACGCTATAAAAAAATAGGGGTTGGTGATAGAAGGGTGAAAATATAGAGTTGTATGTATTTTTTAAATCACAATAAAAAAAAAATTATAAGAAATTTTGTCCAAAAAATAAAAAATAATGTTAGTGGTGGACAACCCTTATCGGTTAGGGGTATGAGAAATAGATAGTAGCTGATTCTTAGACCTACTCAATACGCTCACAAAATTTCATAAGAATCGGTCAAGACGTTTCGGAGGAGTATGGGAACGAAAACTGTGACACGAGAATTTTATATATAAGATATAATTGTACATAAATCATAGATTTATATTGTGGAGATAAATAAAAACCCCATGATGGAATTTTCACATCTCTTCAATTATAATCATCAATACATAGTACAAAACAAAGTCGCTGTCGCTGTCTGTCCGTCCCTATGTATTCATAAATCTTTAAAATTTTTAGGATTTTGTAGCGGTTTTTTTTAATAGATCGAGTGATTCAAGAGGATGGTTTATATGTATAATACATGTACACCCAGGCGAAGCCGGGGCAAGTAGCTAGTCATTACATAGTATAAAACAAAGTCGCTGTCGCTGTCTGTCCGTCCCTATGTATGCTTAAATCTTTAAAACTACGCAACGGATTTTGAAGCGGTTTTTTAATAGATAGAGTGATTCAAGAGGAAGGTTTATATGTGTAATACATGTACACCTGTACGAAGTCGGGGTGGATATATATATAATGAATTATCTTTTTTTTTATAAAAGATCCTATGTATTTTCCTTTATTATTATTATTACCGCCCAACGGAGCTTTCCATTTGCGTCGGCCGTTTTTAAAAGAAGCACCAAAAATAAATTGAAAATAATGAAATAACAACTTGATGGTCAATTAAAACCTTTTATCGTTTAATCGGTTTTTATTCGTACATTCATTGTACCATTGTACCGATGCTGACGTCACAAATTAACCGACTGCGACCGAAATAATGGTTGCATGTGTATAAAATGCTTTTTTATTGACTTAGAGCTGTCTAAACGTAAGCTGAGCAGACCTTGTGTTATATGTACTAGACAACTGATATAAATACTTAGATATTTTTTGTAAATATATGTATAATAGACTAACTGTACACTCGAAATCGTCTGGTGGAATTTAATTTTCTAAAATAAAAGATTTTTCTACAATAAAGGTAGGTAGTCACTCTTTATTACGCCAATAAAAGTCGCGACAAAATCGGTCCAGCCATTTCAGAGATTAGCCGGAACAAATAGACAAACAGACAAAAACTGTAAAAAATGTTATTTCGGTGTATGTATCGTATTTATATTCATATGCATGTAGTAAAAAACGGTTATTTCAATATTACAAACAGACACTATATAGATATGTTTTTGTGAATAATAATGGAATGTTGCACCCGCCTGCGCTAGCGGTTTACGCTGGCGGGGCACCAGTGGAGGATGATAAGATGAGCATGAGGTCAGGTCGTTAGCCCATCGTGACAATTTCACCAGGAATTTAACACGATGGTTTCCAGGGGGAACCGCGTGGAGGTCGACCTGACATGGTACATTGCTAGCAATGGGGTTATCAATCCACATTACTAACAATGTAAAGGGAGGGGACGCCCTAAGAAAAGATGGATGGATTGTGTGAAAGATGATATGAATAAAAGAAGAGTATGTTCAGATATGACGAATGATAGAGAGCAGTGGAAGAGAATGACATACTGCGCCGACCACAAATAATGGGATAAAGGCAAGGTTATAATGGCAGTAATTACATTTTAATTGTTGATTTTTTTTTAAAGAATATATATTTAATAATAACAATAATAATCTCAGGACAATTCACACAGCGCCATCTAGACCCAAGTTAAGCTAGCTAAAGCTTGTGTTACGGGTACTAGATAACTGATACAAGTACGTAGATAATTTTTTTTTCGTAAATAAATACATATTATACATAGAAAATACCCAGAGCGATACAAACAATCATACTCATGAATACAAATGTTTGTGCCGTGCGAGGAATCGAACCCGCGACCGGACGTGAAGCGGTGTGCTAGACCGCTGGACCACCGAGGTCGTCTATTTGTTTAATTAACATCATCATTAGACCAATGCGGACTGCATTGGTCTAATGATGCTGCTGGACATAGTCCTCTCCCAAACCACGCTACTGAGTACGATTTATAATTTTAATATATTTATATTTAATTTTGTTGTGTTTTGTAAAGAAAAATTAATGTATAAATATATATTTTTAATTAATTGTGGGGACTGGTCTGTTCAGGTTGTGAACACTGATTAAATTTTTTGTTCTTTGCGATAGCATATGCTGGTGGTCACTCTATTCTCCCAAATTTTAATTTTAATGACTGTGTATTATTATAAACATGTTCCACTATTATTTGAAAAAAATACGAGCTGAGTTTCTTGTCAGTTCTTCTCATCTCGATATCATTCCGAACTGACGGTAGATTTGACATATCATAAGAGTCTGTAATAGACGAGAAGATACTTTGAATTTTGAATTTTATTTTTGAATAATAAATTCATATTTGTATGTATTATATTATTGCATTTTTTTTAAAGATTATTTAATACTAGCTGTACCCGCGATGTATTTGAAGTTGTAGTTGAATTTAGTTTATTTATCTAAAATAAAAGTAGCCTAAATTACTCCTTATTACATCAGCTACCTGCCAATAAAAGTCCCGTCAAAATCGGTCCACCCATTTCAGAGATTAGCCGGAACAAACAGACAGACAAAAATTGTAAAAAATGTTATTTTGGTGTATGTACCGTTTTTATATTCATATGTAGTAAAAAATGGTTATTTCAATATTACAAACAGACACTCCAATTTTATTTATATGTATAGATATGACATATAAACATATATTTTGTTGCATTTTTTAAAGAAAAAATAATGTTTTAGTATTAAAATAATTTATTCAATTAATTAATTAATTAAAAGAAAATTTATAATATATTTGATTAATGATTAAATAATTACATATGTGTTTCATTAACTCACCTGTGCAGTAGATTGCTCACACTGAAACCTGAAGTGGTACTCTGTGACTGAGTTTTGCGCAGGGCCTTTTAAAGCCACGAACCCGCCCCATCGCCACCCCATCGCCACCCCATCGGACCGAAGACAGGGTTGTCAACGACTGTATTATTACAACTAATTTTACCAATATTGGATTGGGATGGAAGTTTGTTATTCTGTAACGCAAAAACTACTGAACGGGTGATGAAACTTTACAGTAATATAGCTTACTAGCTTTTGCCCGCGGCTTTGCTCGTGTTAATTTATCCCCTTAGGGGCGGAATTTATCAAAATCCTTTCTTAGGGGATGCCTATGTCATAGTAGCTTTATGCATGCAAAGTCTCAGCCCGATCAGTTTGACCAAGTTTCATACAAACTTTCATCCCCTATTTTATACCCTTGGGGGTAGAATTAATCGAAATCCTTTCTTAGCGGATGCCTACGTCATAACATCTACCTGCATGCCATATTTCAGCCCGATCCGTCCAGTGGTTTGGGCCGTGCGTTGATAGATCACTATGTCAGTCAGTCACCTTTGAGTTATATATATTTAGATGCATCAGAACAACACATTTGAAAAAAGTTTCATCGATCTAGATCTGTGTACTGTATGGGTGTCTATATGATGAAAACATCAGTTTATAACAGTCTTATTAATACTATAAGTGCGAAAGTTTGATGGATGTTTGTTACTCTTTCACGCAAAAACGTCTAAACGGATTTTGATGAAACTTTACAGCAATATAGCTTATACATCAGAATAACACATTTATGTAAATTAGGCCACATATAATAAGCGTGATGCAGATGAAGTCGCGAGGGTCAGCTAGGAATAGAATAGAATAGAATAGAATAGAAAATCATTTATTCAAATAAACTTACATTGAAGCACTTTTGAATAGTCATTACATTTTTTTTAATCTACCGCTCGTTCGGAAAGCTGTCTCATCACAAGAAGAACGAGCAAGAAACTTGCGTGTTGCTCTTTTAAATAATTTTATTATTACTTTACATTTTTAAGTTTAAGTGTGTGAATACAAACCACCAATTAGCACTAATTCAATTAAATACTCAAATAGAAAAATATTGAATATATAACCAACTGGTTAAACAATTAATCAGAGGAAATCAGTCATAGTGATTAGAGCAGACCAGTCCCTACAAGCAGCACCCGTTCACGAGTATGACGGATGAGCCAGCCATCACTGCGCTCGACCATATTTTAGGGAGCCCATTGACCCGGCCCACCACGCCGCCACAAGTCTGGACATTTTAGTGAGCATGACTACTCAAAACACTAGACCACGTCAAAGCTACTTACAATTGCCATCTGATAGTAATATAATAAATAACTGCGGACAATTAAAACTGCGCCATCTAGTTTCACGGTAAGCAGAGCTTATAGGTACTAGAAACTAGCTGTTCCCGTGACTTCCTCCGTGTGAAATTTTATTTTATTTTACTAAAAATGAAATTTTTTTTAAAAATAAAAATAGTCTATGTTACTCCTTATTACATCAGCTACCTGCCAAAGAAAGTCCCGTCAAAATCGGTCCAACCATTTCAGAGATTAGCCGGAACAAACATACAGACAGACAGAGGAACAATAATTGTAAAAAAATGTTATTTTGGTGTATATACCGTATTTATATTCATATGCATGTAGTAAAAAACGATTCTTTCAGATACTTTGAATTTTGAATTTTATTTTTGAATAATAAATTCATATTTGTATGTATTATATTATTGCATTTTTTTTAAAGATTATTTAATACTAGCTGTACCCGCGACTTCGTCCGCGAGTATTTAACTTTATTTTTCTGATACAAAAGATTTTTTCTAAAATAAAAGTAGCCTAAGTTACTCCTTATTACATCAGCTACCTGCAAACAAAGTCCCGTCGAAATCACTCCACCCATTTCAGAGATTAGCCGGAACAAACAGACAGACAAAAATTGTAAAAAATGTTATTTTGGTGTATGTACCGTTTTTATATTCATATGCATGTAGTAAAAACGATTCTTTCAATATTACAAACAGACACTCCAATTTTATTTATATGTATAGATAACATTAATCAGTAGTCAGCCCTGTTAAACTGATAGCGGGGGACGCTCCCCCGGTATCAGTTTATTTCATACACTGATATCTTCACGGTGTGTCGGTCGCGGGGTAAACACGACTGGACGCAATTTTGATTATTTATCCGACCACGACTAATTAAGTTGTATAATAATAATAATAATAAAACTGACAAAACTGTACATCAAAATAGACCAGACATAACATTACACGACAAAATCAATAAAAAAGTATATCTTGTAGATATAGCCATCCCAAACACACACAATATACAAAGCACAGTCAATGAAAAACTAACAAAGTACACAGATCTAGCAATAGAATTAAAAAAACAATGGAAAGCACACACCATACACATAGTACCCATAGTTTTGTCATCCACAGGAGTTATACCAAAAAGTCTTATCAAACGCCTAGACACGTTACATATCCCCTCCTCTACAATAGACCTATTACAAAAAGCCGTCATACTAAACACATGCCGAATAGTCAGAAAATTTCTATCTTCATCACATAACTCATCCATGCTTGGCTAAGGCCCGCGTGTTTGAATATATTACCCCCGTAAAAAGGGAGATATAATAAATATATATATATATATATGTAATAATAATAATAATCTCAGGACAATTCACACAGCGCCATCTAGACCCAAGTTAAGCTAGCTAAAGCTTGTGTTATGGGTACTAGATAACTGATACAAATACATAGATATTTTTTTTTTTTTGTAAATACATACATATTATATATAGAAAACACCCAGACCGATACAAACAATCATACTCATGAATACAAATGTTTGTGCCGTGCGAGGAATCGAACCCGCGACCATCGGTCGTAAAGCGGTGTACTAGACCGCTGGACTACCGAGGTCGTCAAAAAGTTGTATAGCCTATAATATACACTAAGGAATCGATTTGTGATTTGTTTCTTCATAATTACGTCATAACCACTATTTTTAGTCTAATAGAATAGAATAGAAAATCATTTATTCATATAAACTTAATTTAAGCACTTTTGAATAGTCATAACATTTTTTTTTATCTACCGCTCGTTCGGAAAGCTGTCTCATCACAAGAAGAACGAGCAAGACAGTTGTGTGTTGCTCTTTTAAATAATCCTTGTAAGTTTACATTTACAAGTCGAAACGTGTGAATACAAACTACCAACCAGCACTAATTTTTTTGGGTCACATATAAAAACACCATAAGATTAAATCAGTCGTAGTGATAAGAGCAGACCAGTCCCTACAAGCAGCACTCGTTCACGAGTATGACGGATGAGCCAGCCATCACTGCACTCGACCATATTTTAGGAAGCCCAATGACCCGTAATAATCATCATTATATATAAATAAAATAAATAAAAGTCTCTGTCGCTGTCTGTCCCTATGTATGCTTAAATCTTTAAAATATCGCAATGGATTTTGAAGCGGTTTTTTTAAATAGACAGAGTGATTCAAGAGAAAGGTTTATATATATAGTACATGTACACTAGATTTTTTACTACATGCATATGAATATAAATACGGTACATACACCAAAATAACGTTTTTTACAATTTTTGTCTGTCAGTTTGTTCCGGCTAATCTCTTAAAATGGCTGAACCGATTTTGACGGGACTTTTATTGGCAGGTAGCTGATGTAATAAGGAGTAACTTAGGCTATTTTTATTTTAGAAAAATTAAGTTAAATTCCACGCGGACGAAGTCGCGGGAACAGCTCGTTGGAAATAGTACGATGTGCTAAACCGATAACTACCGGTCTTGAAATTAGTATTAAAAATACATTTGTAATGTTTATTTCCAATAAAGGTTACATCGAGGCTATTCTGGTCAAAACTTTTGGTCACATATTAGTCAACTGAACTCCACTTAAGTTTTAAATCGGGAATAACTATTATTAACTCATTAGACCAGTGTTTCCCAAACTTTGTTGTGCCATGACCCACCGTAATATACATAATTGGGGGAAGGGGGTTGTTAGACATGTGGATTGATAACACCATTGCCAGAATGTACCATGTCAGGTTGACGCAGATTTCCCTGGAAACTATTGTAGTAAATTCCATTTGTCACGATGGCCTAACTGACCTGACCTCATGCTCATCTTATCATCCTCCACTGGTGCCCCGCCAGCGTATACTGTTAGTGCAGACGACGGCACTATTCTATCAACCCTCAAAAAAATGCAAATTTTGTAATATTAAAAAAACTATTTTTTATTTCAATGTTATAAATTCAAATAAAAAAATCGGTTGTTTGCCGCTTGTGGACGTTAAAAATTTTATATTATATTTTTTTCCCTACCGTCCAGTTCAGTACATAGATCCAATTGAGAAGAACTGGCAAGAAACTCAATTGAATTACTTTTTTTTTTGAAAGCCAGTTTATTTACAAGGTACATATATGTAGGTGTCTATGTCTAACATTAAAAGAAAATGTCGAGCAACAACAACTACTGCCATGCACGCTCATCATTAAACATTGCAATATTCCTCCACCAAATAATAATTGTTTAAGAATTTCCTTTTTTCATTAAATTTTGCATTGCATTTCAATGGCCTGGAGAAAAAGGGACGTAGGGGCCCACGTCCCCTTTAAGATCTAATGTCAACAGAAATTACAACACGAAGTACAGTGTTCCCCAAATTTACTCGACTCGTGTCGAGTATATTTTCGATTTCGAATACCCCTGTGGGACGTGGGCCCCTACGTTGCGCCTACTTTGGGAAACACTGTTCGTGTTGTAACTTCCGTCGACATTAGGTCTTAAAGGTCATAAGTTTGTTTGTTCTCTTTTATTTAACTATATTGTACAGTAAAAAAGGACAATTGACATTCTAAAATTGTAATATTTATCTTAGACAATTCACCCAGCGCCATCTAGTTCCAAGCTAAGCTTTGCTCTTGTGTTTTGGATGCT